GCCTGAATTATTTTCATGCCTTTTTTTGTAATACTACTTAAGTAGTGTACTGCGAAGATCGCTTATACGTTAATTTCGTAAACCGCAATTCACATCTATGCATTATTATTTTGATATATTCATAGTCATTGACTCTTCTCTCCACGGTTTTATTACGAATTAATTAGCTCCCAGTTGGCTTGTTAGCTCAGTTGGTAGTGCACTGCACCGGCATCAGTGATCATGAGTTCAAGTCCCGTACAGGCCTGAATCCTTTTCAGGCCTTACTTTTACTGCAGCAATGATAAGTCGTTTTCATTACTGCGAAGATCGCTTTCAGTTTCCATCGTAATTTTTTTCTGGTTTCTGGACTGAAAATATGATATGAGTAGATTTCACTTAACTCCGGGGACGCTGCACTTACCCTTTGAAGCTTCTTTTACCATTTCTGCTTTTTCCTCATTCTTGTGTTTATCCTTTAAATGCTCTTGTTTTCCCTTCCTCTTTTTGTGTTTCCTTTGACTTTGCAACTGGGCCATTCTGGTCAAAATCAGCTCCTCTAACGTTTTACCCATTTCTAGCTGTGTCTTATCAAGTGATACATGTTTGTGTTCATTAAATTTTAAAGAATTATCTCCCGCGCTGCTCGTTGCATGCTTTAATTTAGCTTCATGACTGTCTCCTACACTCTTACCTCCATCCGACTTCGAGTTAGCAAGCTTAGGCACTTTAGAAGTGTCGTTATACTTCTTGGGACCAGAGTTTTCGTTTAAATTTTCGGCTAAATCTTTCATTTCTTGTCGAAGGATAGTTAGGGCATTCTGTTTGTTCCTAGCGGCCTTGTCTTTCCGACCGATTTTCTTTGTATACATCACACTGGGTTTATGCCCAGACTTTTCCATTCCCATGCCCCAGGGTTTTAGATTTTTCAAGTCCTGGTTATACCGATATTTCCTTGCTTTCTGTAGTGTATAAAGCTTTGATTCAGTGCCATTGTGTCCTGTTCCTATTATCTTAACCCTACTTTTGCGGCTTTTATGCCTTCGATGACTCCCTGGTGTTTTCCTACCATCATTCAAAGGTTTTCCTTTCTTTCGCATCTCATAATCTATAAATGCTGAGCCAGACTCATGTTTACTGATCATATTGTAAATCTTTTTCACTTTCTCTAACTCTTCCTCTCCTTTGGGTCCTTTAGCGACCATGTCTAAGTCCTTTTTAGGAGCTGCATATCTCCAAACTTTGTGCAAGTTTTGCTCAACTTCTTTCAACAGTTTTCTATTAATTTTGATTCCTGAACCACTGCCACTGTCACTAGGCAACTTCGAAGAATCCGACAGTCCACTACTCTCTCCAGAGATGTCGTTTTCCACCGACTCTACCAGTGCTTCCTCTTCACTTTCGCGTAAAATACCAGATCCTGATTCATGTTTTTCATCTGAATCATCCTCTCCTCCACCCCATGAATCATCACGTGCCTTGTGCTGATCAGCGTCTTCCGAGCCTGATGCACCACTCTCACCCTTTACGGATTCCTTTGGCTTCATTCTGTGCTGATTGACAAACTCAGATTCATGTTTTATTACCAAGTTATAAATCTCTTGGGCCTTTTGCTCCTGCTCCTTACTCTTTGGTCCCTTGGACATCATTCCGAGGCTCTTACCGGCCGCAGCATAGCGCCACACCTTACGCAAATTACTTTGAACCTCTCGCATGATCGTTCTGTTTATTTTACCAGACCCGTCTGCATGCTTTTCGTCAAGAATGAATGCTGAACCTAAAGAACTAAAATCAGCGGAGGAATCTTCCCCTCCTTCTTGTCTCAATTCCTCTTCTATTCTGTCATCTAGTAGGCTTTCTGCGCTACCGGACTGCGAACTGGATTCAAATTCTTCTATATCGCTGGGACTGACCACAGACGCCATTTCTGTTCTTTTCACCGCAGTCACTGGGTGAGTTTGTGTCTGAATTATGTCATCAGTGACGTCATCGTCCTGCTCGGTTCCTGACTCATTAAGTAGGCCTCCTTCCCAGTCCTCCCCGCCAGAGGGCTGTTCCATTTTGAAGTTCATACTTTCTGAGCCGCGTTCATAAAAATTTCCGCTGAACAATATAGTTTCGTGGCTGTTGTTGGCACTTTCGTTGATACCATTCTTTTCAATGGAACCAGAATGTTCTTCGTCTTCAATCTCCTCCAACGAGCGAATAATTCTTCTATCTTCGGTAGTGGACTTCTTAACTGCCAGGTCTCCATCCTCAATCAACGATGTCTTCTTTGAAATGTTGAATGAGCGAGTATCACTTTGTGACGAGTGGAAAATATCATTGACTTCTCTTCGATTGGGTTCAACTGAAAATGACAAAAGGTCTTTGTGATAGCATCTAGCCTTTTATGGAAATCATAATGAAACGCTCTCATTGAGTAGGGTCATGGACAGCTTACTGGGTTAAATAATCGAACCTGCATGAGCTCATTCCCTTACCGTCACATGATTAATGGCTATAACGTATGAGACTAACAGCTCTGCTGAAACATAGAATGCATGGTAAATTTATCCGAAACCGCCTTTTAACGCTTCAGTGTGAACTTGGATTTCAAAGAGATTTCTAATTAATACAAACCTCTAAACAAACCATTAAATTGACCAAACTGTGAAGCCAGAATATGATTTATATTTGCAGCGTTCATAGGAAAACAGAACAAAAAATGTTTTGCCTCCATTAAGTCTTGACTGAGATTTTTTTTCCTTATCATGAAGTAGCGTTCTACAGTTTCCTCTTTCATTCAATGCTGCAATCGGCTTTATTTAAGTAGCCCAGAAAGAGTAAGGAGTGTTTCGTGGACCAATCAGAGAACACCTTTCTTTATACACTCATTTAAGAAAAAAGAGCTTTGTTGGCTAAAATAAGAGACTTGTATACCTTCGTCTTCGGCGTCTTCTCTCGATGCGATATACAAGAGCCTCATGCCTTTGTTGTAACTTGCTAACCTCACTGGTGTACATAATTCACGGCTGAAACAAGACACTGAGTAACAGTGTTCACCAATCCACGCAACTAGGTCGCATGACCTCTGATCACAGCACCGCTGAACACAAAGCTCGGTATCATCTGGAGGACCTAGTCTTTTAAACTTACCAGCTTGGAGACCACCTCGAAGACGAGCGTTTGGAAATGTGTAGCTTTTTGGACAGTTGAAGCGTTGAAGTGCAAGCGGAGTTACTGCAAATAAACATTGTAGTAAAAAATGTTCAGTTCATTAAGTTAAGTTACCCAAGAAGTTTAGACTTTACTTTTGCAGTTACCGAAACAATTTAAACTGCAATCGAAAGCACTTTGCTTGATTAAACTAACAAGGCAGTAATCGAAAGAAGAGGGGTATGTTTAGGTAAGAGCTTCAAGCTCCCACTCAAACGATGCTGGTTGAAGATGAGTTTAAAAAGCATTTTCGTGACAGAATTCCAGACTGAAAAACATACTTTTAAAAATCACAACATAATTTTTCAAATACTGATTGGAGATATTTTCAGCAGACCATTCGGAAACTTTGGTTCTCAAACTTATGCACACTCCTTACACTGTGCGCTTTTTGGAAGCTCGTCTTTTTGCCTCTCATTTCCATTATATTTCAGAACCTCGCCTTACTTCTAAAGTACTTATTGTATGGAGTAGTTATAGCCAAGGTCACAGTGTGACATCGATATAGATGAATCATCGGACATAAAGCAAGTTTATGAATTGAATGTCGAGTTACTAACACTCTCATCTTACCGAGAGCACTTAAACGGGCACTGTGAGGTCTTCTCTAACCCTATTTTCATTTTACGACTCTTGAAAAATGATTTGGAATAGACATGCAATATTTTTATGTTCATCAAGGAAGTTGTCTTGATTTTAAACTTTATGTCTCTATGCACTGCAGCGAACGTACTGTTTCCAATAGGTTTGACATGGAATCCATGAAAGAAAGGACGGAACCATTTTTAAAAATCTGATTTTAAAATGTAGTTTGGTGCCCAAAAACGTTACTCAGTTTCAATTTACTACAAGTTTTCAGTTAAGCAAATTATGCTGGCAGAAATTAGAGCTCCTTCGATCAACTTTAGGCAATTAAATACTAAAAATAGCAATTGTCTCTTGTTATAGGCTAAGGTTTGAATTTGAATAAAAACCAGCACGAGCAACAGGTCTTCAGACCAAATACACATTTCCTCTTGGGAAACTTAAGGAAATCACTATAATAATATTTTTCAGGTGACATTTCTATTGAAATTTGGGTTTAAAAGTCAAAATATGTAACCCTCACTCACCTGGTGAAAAAATCAGAATTAGGAGAAACGTGACCATGAAAATCTCGTTAGGCTGTCTCCACATTTCAAAACGTTGATTTGCAATAGTCTTGAATCGCCAAGCCTTTCTAAGATTATTAAGTAATTAACAGTGCTATAAAAAATGTGTAATTTTCAGAAAAGTTTATCAATTCCTCAGAATTCTAAAAGCGAGCAAATATCCACGTGATTTCCTTTGTTACTTTGCAATCAGCGTTATCTAAATCAAGTTGAAGTAGGATGCACGCCAGAACTGCACACGACAGGAAACAGTTGATTATTCACTCATGATGTTGTCGAAAAGTCAATTGAATTTCCTCTAGCCAGGGATTCTCCAAAGATATTTCATGATGAAGCGAAGTTCAGAACAGCGAAAAATCAAGCGAGCGAAGAATAGTTCAAAAATTCATGTCTTGAATCTGGCGGGTGGCAGCGGGTCCTAATCTTCAAGTTTTTCGCGCTTGGCAAAGACAATTTCCTTGTTTGGTAAAATGATGAGGAAATGAGTTTAGAATACTTTTAGTATGCTCTAGTGTCAGCATTTGCTCCAAGTATAGGTTTTTTGACTTTTTCCTGCTACAAGAAACCTTTAGTACACCTTGGAATTTGTTTCTATTAAGTTTAAATGAGTTCATTTTCAATTCTGTTCGAGCTTATTTCGTGCAAGCTATCATAACCTGTTGAATTCAAAACTTATATCAAATTACACAAAACAGTAAAACGGAAAAAATCTTAAAATAAACTTTTTTTAAGTAATAATGAGTAGAGGATCATATTTTTGACGGAGGATTAGGTTTAGGTTTGAGAAACTATGGCACCTGATCAAAATGTGTTGATTGTCAAAAGAACACCAAAATATAGGAAACTCACCAACAATAAGGGAAAGATAACAAAAGAAAACGAAAGACATATTTTAAAAGTCATATGGCTGATAGGAAGCCAAAAAAAGAAAATTTAAATTAACTCCCTCAACGTAAAAAAAAAGAAACCATTGTGGAGTTAGAGGAGAGTGTGACAGACTTGAAGTCAGCCGGCGGTCAGTTAGGCAGGTATAACTAGTAACTCAGTCAGTTAGCCAGACAGGATTTAGCTTGATATGGCTATATGGAGCTATGAAGGACCATGCCAGACTATTAAGGACTGTGCAGGGCCCTGTAGGGCCACATTACCCATCTTCGTCTAACTCTTTCGTTGAGACACTATATGACTATTACATTACCATAATTCGATAACCTCTAGTTGACCGCTGGTAAAATGGACCTAAGTCTGTCAGACGAATTATCAAAACAATATCTTTCAACTGGCCACACCGATCTGAGCAGCGATCTGCGTCGATATGTTTGGATGCATTGTCTCTGGACGTTTAGTAAGTATTTTTTAATTTCCAGAGAGGTTTTATTGTAGTGTAAGAACAGAAAATATCGCTGAACGTACCCCGGTGAGCTCACTGCCTCTCATAAATATGAGAGAGAATTGACAAATTTGTCAAATTGAATGCACGTGCTTGTTTTTGTTGTTTTCATTTATGTTATTGTTTGTCTTTTCTTCAAGAAATCATTTTTTCACTCAAAGAACATGCATTTCCTTCTATTTCGTAAACATACATGTGTAGGGAAATCGACCTCTCGTGAGGGGGGTTGTTTCTATCCTTTAGGATGATCTGGAAAATTCTATTCATATCCTTTTTTAATCATTGGATAGCTTTTAAAAGATGTTGTGTTGTCATTATACAGCCAAAATATGCCAGATCACATTGGTCTTATTCCATTGAAATATATGAAATATATCGAAATATATCGAAATATATGTCTAAATAACGTTGTAGTCACTAAAGAAAGAGCCAGAAACCGAAAATTCCTGCAATTGTAATACCTTGATGTTGAAGGTCATCCTTAATTAACTTGTATCATTAAACAATATTAGATTATGAGCATGTGAATTCAATCACTTGTAGAAATCCAGAATGAATAATTTAACTGTGTTAGACTTAGTAGAATTCTAACAGTTGTTCAAAACTTAACAAGACAGGGTCGTGTTTTAAAATATTGTTTTGTTTACAATCATATTTTATTTGGAGAAACTCTTACCCATCTTATATGCTTCCCTATATTTTTCATATCTCATAGAAGACTCACATATGCATGAACCTTGTTTGACATGTGAATGTAGGCGTATTCATGGCTAGCTCATGTGTTTTGTATGTCTTACCATCAATGAGTAAGCTCATTGATTTCCATGTTTGCATCTTTCTCCTATTTTTTTATATTTTCTATAATTTAAGAGTTAAAGTTTGGAACAGTTTGTTATATTAATCTCTGAAGTTTGCACTTTACTTAAGCTGTACTAATACTTAGTATCCCAGTAACAATGAAACCTGATATAGTTTAAAAAGTAAGATCAAATTGTTATTGTTGAGATGCAATTGTACATGTAGGTGAAAATGGATGGTCATTTAACTTAATTGTTCATGTTACAGCTGAGCATCAAAGATTAACCTGCTATAGTATGGTGAATCTTGTTTGTACATGTACTTTCGTCAATTTTGAAATTCCACTTCTTGATCATGAGGAATGAGATAAGTTTGGCGCTTCCTTAAGTCTAAAGATGTTATAAATCCTTAAAGTGGCTTCTATGGGTAATTATAATATATTTTTATGCCTACATTTTTGATGTGCTTGAGTAAGATATGAAACATGTTTTGATTTTCTTTGGTAAGGTTCAAACAGATGCCCAACAAGTTGGACCAACCCAATTTGTTTTCAACTTAGCTGATGTTGAAAGAATTCACCATGTGATTGTCTTCCTGACGGGTGTCACACCCTTTCCAGACGGGATGGGTGGAGGAGTTTATTATTGTTATCCAACTCCTGAAGGACCAACATCACAGTTGCTTGGATTCATTGGCAACAATAAGCCCAGTGCTATATTTAAACTCGCAAAGGTGAGTTATTATGTCAATAAGCAAATCAAGACACAGTTCAGGGTTTGCATAAGTTTTCTTAATTCTCCCAACTCATGTTTATGTAAACATATGAAGAGTCCTCTTTTGTTTAAATGCAAATGTTATATTTTATAAGCGAAATATACAGGATAGCTTTTTTTTAAACCAGGAATGAAGTTGAAAATTGTAAATATTCCTCCTGGTTAATTTTTTGCAGCTTGGAAGCAAATGACAAATATCAGTTCCACGCTGTAGAAAATTTGAACATCTTGAATTGTAAAAATTTGTTCCCACAAAACATTAAGAGTCATTACTCAGCAAAGTCAAACTTGGATAAGAAAAGCTTTCATACTACTTGGTACACGAAAGAATTCAACTGATATACACCTGTACCAAAAGGAAAGACTCAATTGCAACTATGAAACAATTGTTGCAATGTTCGGTTCTTGGGCCCTATCCAAGGTTGCTTCTAAGCATTGCTGATGTTAAAGTGGTCTGATTCTCCTATTGAGGTAAACAACCTCTAACTTTCAAAGTAAATTTGAGATGAATTATTTCACAATAAGTTGAACATAATTTTCAAACTTATTTTGCCACTTGATTTTCAGGCAAGGCCTGAGGAAAGAGTACAGAATCCATTTGCATTGAATGCTGGTATGGCTCTTGACCAGGTAGGGGCTCAAATTGGTATCTCAATTGAGCCCCTGGACCAGTTAGCCCAGCAGACTCCAGCAAGTCACACAACACCGTCAAACTTGAACTCATATGTAGAGTACACACAAAAAATGTTAGAGAATTTCTTCAATTTTGCTTCATCATTTGCCATTACTCAGGGGCAAATGACGCCAAACCCCTCAGAGAGCTTTGTACCTTTAAGTGTGGTACAAAAGTGGTATGAAAATTATCAGAGAAAAATGACGAATGATCCGAATTTTTGGAAACGTTAATGGTATGAATTTGACACCATACACTTATAGGAATTTAATGTATTTTAGAGGCAAGGAGCAGGAATGGGGTAAAGTACCCTTTAGAAGAGTTTGCAAAAAAATAAGAAAGCTTGATAGCTAAATATAGACTGTGATTAATAGACTTGCATACGCCCTACAGCGACAAGAGGTTTTGAAAGGCAGGGCGTGGTAGTAAAATGCAACATGCCTGCTAATCTCTCTGTAAGAGAAACACTTATCGAACTTCGTAACTCGCTCGTCGGAAAGTAATTATACCAGCAGTTGTTATGAAACGTAGACAATTCTTGAAAATAGTTTGAAGAGTCTTAACCCGGGAGGCGATCTTCTTTGCTGGTCAGCGTCAGACTTTTTGCCATGTCCAAATTAAGCTATCATTGTTACGGAATTTATTTCGTTGCTGTGGTACTACAGTATAAATATAATTGAAATAATAATAATAAAAAAACATATTTATGCAGGATGACCATTTCAGTTATAAAAAACTGCTATCAACATGGGTCCTGCGTAAAATGAAGAAATGAGTAAATAATAAAATAAAGGATCAAATAAGCAGGAAATCCAAAAATATACATATAAAAAGAGATAAAAAGATTGAAACTAGATTCAGCACAATTATTCAAAATATCTGCTCCTTTATAAAAAAAAAACGCTCTTTAATTGATTCTAATTTAACCCTTTCAGTAACTCGTTTGTTATTATTCCTGATGTCCTAATGGTGAATATTATGTCTTTTAATTTGAAAATATTTGGAGAAATAACTTGAGGCCATTCCCTTGAGGCACTCTTCAACCTGTTTAACAATGAGGTTTTCTCTTCTCGTAAGAGTGACCCAACCGAGACTTGTAACCATCTGTTCGGTGGACAAATGAGCAGTATTCAAGAATATTCAACCACCTCGTCTTTGTAGGCATTTTAGACCTTCTTCATTCCCTTTACCTCATTCATGGAAAACAGCGCCACAACAATCCAAAACTGGAAGAATAATCGATTTAAAGAATCTGTTCGCTGATGCAAGTCTTGCTCTTCAAAATCAGAGAAGGCCCCTTTGTTTAAAAGCGAAAGGAACAGACAGCATGACAACAGCAGTGTCTTTATTTTCGTGGAAGACGAACACATCTATCTGCCTTCTATTTACATGGACAGTCGTACCTAATGTGCTGTTCGCAGTTAAAAAAACAAGCTGTCATTGATAAAGGAATCGACTCTTAATGAGCATTCAGTTTACAGAAGTCGTCTGTGGTGAATGCAATTTCGATTGATTGCCGTGAGTAATGCGGGACTACTTTCGTTTTACTTTACTCTAATCTGTGATTGGTACTGAAATCTCACGTCATCCTACCTCCTAACCAATCAGATGCAAAACCAAAACCAATAGCTTGGTGACGTGCGTGTTCCCGTGCTTGAGGCTGCTTCAAGTGTGTTTCCTTCTGCTAGGCTTCCGGGGTGGTATTTACCTCTGTTCCAGTAGGATCGAAAGCTTAATTCTCGTGGGGAGTGTGTGGGGACGCGGCTGGGGACGAGGTATCGGTCATTGCATTCGCTCTGACAAATGGCTAACGCTCGAAACGTCAGCTTTACAAACTCGTTGCAGTGGCCAATTTACATCATCAACTCTGTCGATAACACCAAATTATCTTGTCATACTACCCCACCGACGCAGAACCACAATTTCTTCAAAAACTTACCCCCGTTTTGTTCGTCAAGATAGTTTTTTATATAAATATATTTGGCGACTGTTTTCCGACATCGCAATGTTTATTTAAACGGAACAAGTGTTCGGCTAGCAGTTAATACTTCTCAACAAAACTACAAACTTGTAACTTGACGCAGCCATCTCCAACAGAGCATAAACTACTACTTTTCTTAGGTCTTTTTATTCCTTAAGCCGCAATTGACGCACCAAACATCGGTAACGTTAACCAAGGTCTTAATGCTGACTTAAATGTAACTCAGCACATGTTGTCAGCAAACAGAAGGCTTTACTCGGTTGTTGACCAAAGCTACAAACCTACCAAGTATTCAATTCTGTTTGGGGCCAAATATAGCTACGCACAAAATTTTGACAAAACTTTGAACTTATTACTCTGTGTATGTGCCCTTGATTGTCCTAATTTCAGAACTTTGATTCGCTAAATCATGGTTTTTAGAGCGATTTTCAATTTAGTGTTGAAAGTAACTCAAGCTTGCTTTTTTTTGTACTCTGCTATATGAATGGTCCAGAATATTAACCGCAAGCACGACCATTCAGATGCGAAACTAAGACATGTCGCGACTTGATCATTTGCCCCTTCCTGCGGGCGCCCCAGGCAGCTTTTTTTTAACTATAAGTTTCAATGGGCTGCTAGTGACATTTTACTTTGTTCTCATTATTATTTATTACTATGGCTTTTGTTTTCCAACAACTCGAGGAAAACTGCTCTATACTTGAAAAAGAGCAAAGGTCTTCAAATTGCTTCTCCCTTAGTCGTACAACATTGTATGATACGTAACGTCTTTATCGTGTGTGAAGATAAGATCAGCTTGGTGGTGTTTGTCTTTCGCACTGTTCAGTTCACATAAGTAGTGGTCCTCTCCCTGTTTAAACAAGTTAAATGATTGACAACTGCAAGATCGTAAGCAGTGTAACCCGCACGTAAACTCGTCCCGCACTGATTTCTGAGTAATGACATGTCCCAAGAGTTTGAAGTTCTCTCGTCTCGTAAAGATCGATTGTCGATCTGGGGGAAACAAACGAAATCAAATCAAATCACAGAATGTACTCCTCAAAAGAAGAGGCTGCAGATTTACGGTGAAAAACAAGATTTTTTATTCATTCAATAATGTGATTAGGGACGACATAGGTGTTGTTTTGCTTGAATCAATCCACATATTTCGTACTCTTAATCAAATGCGAAACTGAAAGCAGCTATAAGCTGTTTCCTCGCATTTCTAGTACTTTAGGTCGGTTACGTCTGTCCTATTTGAGTTTTATTTGGTCTTATTGGCTTTATTAACGGCGAAATTCAATACAAAAGCGCTCTATAATGCAGAGTTCTACTCACATAAACTGGAACTGCACGCAGTAGAGGGTGACACAATTTTAACGCCTTTTCTAAGCATTGGGGCGACCACGTTTTCACACCAATTGAATACATTTCCTCTGATGAAGTCGCAGCTGTCATAGACTTTCTTTATCTCTTCTGCTGTCAATTCCCTACTCCAGATCCTCAGGTTACTCATACTTCCGTTTAAACGTTCAACGAACTCACCAGACCCCTTCCTCAGAGCACCAAGCACTAATGTACCACCTCCTTTAAGACCTTTATCTGAGGGTAAATGTACCACAAAATTATTGTATTTCAGCTCAATATACATAACGAAAATATCCCCAGATATTGTTAACCTCAATAGGTGTTTGTAAAAGGTGGGGTTTGTTATTTTTGTCTTTTTTTACGATATTGCTGGCTTGCAGAGGAATGATGTCACAAAATTGTGGCGCGGACGATAAAGGGCTGGGTCGACAAGAATTTTTTCATCCAAATCTTATCTTGTGTCAGTGTCTTCTCGCGCCTCGCAGAGAGTAAAACATATTACTAACAGTTCAGTTTTCCTGCGCAATACAGTTTGAAAGAAATAAGGTTCACTGAGGAAGTGCTCTTGTCGTAAAACCAAGGACTAACATGGAAGATCCCGATCAAGTGGACTTTTAGAGGACAAGTTTCAATGTGACGAAATTTTAAATGCACTGATTAATTGACATAAACTCTTTTTTAAAAGAGGAATTGCAGGGGTGCTTAAAAGAAATTCTACTCCAGAAATTACTTATTTCAATGAAACGTCGTCGTAAATTTTTGGTTCCATTGTATGGTTTGAAGCCGGTAGTAATAGATAGTCGATCGTGTTTTTGATCATCTGGATAAGAGTAGTCCTAAAAAGGCTATTGTCGGCCACCAGATCAGAAGTCTTCATCAGAGGCTGTTTGACAAGTGTTTGTCAAGTCCCTTGACTTTAAAGTTGACTTTCGTTCAGGCTGCAAACAACTCCCCACCCCCCTCCCCCACCTTCACTTTCTTAAATAATAGGGATAAAAGGAAAACCTGTTTATTGCCACTTTCTTCATAACTTTTTTAAGTTTCAACTACAAAGGAATCAGTGTTTGTTCATAATTTCTTAATACATGCTCCCACTCGATTAAGCACTCTTCTTCCAATAAGTGCCCCTGCTTTTAGCCGAAATTTTGAATGAGCACCCAGGCGTTTATTTGAGGAAATACAATACCTACTCTCTTCAGATGATTTGACCGCACGACAAACAAGATTTCCTTGCTAACGATGCACAGCGAACATTTCCTCCTCGACAAGAATACTTGCTAGGGCAAATACAACTTTAATTACATATAGACTAACTATGAGATACATCAGCTCTTAAAATAGAAATGTGCACTGTAGAAAACTGAACTTTTAATCTCGCCGTTAAGGAGTATGTATGAACTTTGGCGATAACGGGTCAAAGAAACTCAGTTCCTCAAATAGCACAACTCGTTTGACGCCTGTTTCTCCCACCCTTCCATCCACTCCAACACCTGCTAACTGATCTGCTTGACATGGGTTAAAATAAAAAAAAAATCACTACTTCATGTATTATCTTAACAGTGGTAGAGGAAATAATTAAACTAGGTTTTGATACGGAGCCTTGCAATTCTATCAAGTAACCATAGTACTCTGAAAAGAGTCAGTATAAATCTGTTGGGCGTCTCACCTAATCTGATAACCATTGATGTTACGACATGAGTGCCTTCAAAGTAGAACCCAATTTTATGAAGTTTTTGGTGCCAAATGATGCAGACGTGCTGCCAACTGTTATCGTAAAGGTTGCCGTGTGGTTGTCGTAGATAGCTGGAAATACAGAAGAACTTAAATAGGACATAATGATTTACTTGCTGCGCAACCGTATCAGTTTTCTCCAGTTTTCTCTTGCCCCTTGTCGATTTGTTGGTTTTCGTTTGTAGGCTAAAAGGTGTTTAAGTTTCATAAACATGTATATAACTTCTGTGAAGTGAAATAATGATTGACTGCAAACAAACAGAAACTTACAGGTGACGTTGGTCATCTATATCAACATTTATCGTAGTTCCTTTTGTCTCCAAGTGAAAAGCCTTTCCGTAATCAGTAGTAGAATAAGACAACAAGGTAGTTGTTGGCGCCGCCGATCCAGGGTGTGGCAATAACTTGATCCAAAAACAGACCGTGAATGACTCCATGTCAGGAAGGGAACTGGGTTCTGCTATAGCGTATCCATCCAAATGTTGTGGAAAGTGCAGATCGAATGATTCTGTAAAAACACACACACAAAACTTTTTTACCCATCTTAATAGTTTAGATTGAAACAGTTTAAATATCCTATTAAAATAGTTTATGAGTAAGAGCGCATGGGGCAACTTATAGCAACTGTGCTGTGGACGGCACTTATTTTGCCTTAATTTTTTAAGTTAAGTCCAAAATCGTTTTTGCCGATATCAAGCTTCTCAATGTGACATTACTACCCTTGTCTCGTGAGAGACGAACTTTAAAAGATCTCTATGAATCATTTGATAATTAGTGACAGCTCTGTCACGACGATATCAAGCTTCTCAATGTGACATTACTACCCTTGTCTCGTGAGAGACGAACTTTAAAAGATCTCTATGAATCATTTGATAATTAGTGACCGCTCTGTCACGATGTCAGCTCTGTCACTGTCACGATTCAGTAATTTATCAGAAAAAAAAAACGTCAAAATGTCACCCGTTGCGCTGTGCAAAAAATTTTTGAAAGTTCAGTCTATAAGCCTTTTTGATGCTAAAAGTCATCTTGGGAGAAAAAGAAAAAACACCCACACACAAAAAAGATTTTACAGCCAGAATAATATGCATTAGTTAATACCAGTAATTTTCATCGTACCGTTGTATATCCTTTTGCGGATATTTCAAAACATCCTTACCTTGACTAGCAACTAAGTTCAACGAACCTATGACGTTACCAAAGATTAAGTTTCTTAGTTTGGTCGTCTGGTCATGTCATTTCTACCTGATCTGCTTGAGAGAGCTGTCACTTGGTGATAATTGAGACCAATCATTAAAAACATCGTAAATAGAACTGATGTCATGTGGCCGTTCATTCTGCTCTGGAAACTTTGAACCTGAGGGAAACCAATTGTATTTGTAATTGACCCGCCTCGATTAGCATTTGCTATTTGGGGGTCAAAGGAATATGTTGTAAATAAGTGTGAAAATAAAAACAAAAGTGTGTGAAAGATAAAAGTAAGTGAACTGATCATTAAATATACATCGATCATAATTGTTTTTTTGGATAATTATTTTGAAAAACAAACAAATGTCACGAATGTAATTGATATTGTAAAAAACTGAAACGGAAAAGGAAAAGGAAAAGTAAAAAGGGTATACAGATACGAATTACTCTTTCACCGTCCTCTAAATGGAAAAGCTCCGAAAATAACATCGATCTCTAATTATGTGATAACTACATACCCTGGTACATTTCGACGAGAGAAACAAAAAACGGGTTATATGTCTGAGATAGATTCAAAGATATCAACCAAATAGTTACAAAAAGGTTACCCAAGAACCGCTAAGTCATTCCATGTTTCTCCTTCATTTTGCAACGAAGAATCATATCTTTGTCATAAAAATTGTCTGCGTTAAAACCGCTATTTACATGCATGTATTAGCAAATTCTTCTCATACCTTGGATAGTACGTATTGATGAAGAGGAACAGCATCGAATGTGACAGCGGCAATCGTCACTTCTCAACACCACAATTACTGATAAAATAGGCGATTTATTGACGGTGAACGACGTGGGTTGAAACTTAAAAATAATAAATAATACAAATTACAACAGTTGATTAAGTGAAGGTGATAAGAAAGAAATACCCTGAGCCAACTTGAAACGACAATACTTACATTGTTACGATTACTGCAAAACTGCGCTTGACGAAAAAACACTGTCCGAAGACGAAATGAAGAATAAAGGAACTGCTTGAAAGCGTACTGCGACTCACGGTGCAACTGCCGAAAAGAAAAAGGCCCTGAACAGAGAAAATTAAGTTTATATACGCACGAAAAACTAAAAATTAATGCACGGGCAAACGACCAGCTGAAAGTTTAATTGACGCCAATAATTGTGAAAGAAAGAATAATGAACGAAAGTATGTGATATGGGAAACAACAGAAGCTAACTAACAGGTGAAAAAACATTAGACGACGAGAAACAGCAACAACAAAAAAGGGACACCTTAATTAATGATTGAATACATTCCGCATGCTAAGATCTTACATCGAAGTTGACGACAGATATTTTAAAAGAACGTTATTGCAATAAAAACGTAAGAAAAACGGCAAGAGAAAGAACACGAAGAGTTGTCGAGGCTTAGTAAGACGACGACATGCTCAACTTATGAATAAAGTTTTTCTAAACAGGCAACGAATACTATTGAATCGATGAGCAAACAAAGCATCGGTGGACGACCTCGCTGACTCCTTTGTCTCCCGATCTCTTTAGCCTTTTAATAAAAAAAATTTTTACTCAGTGGAGTCGAATGAAATCAGCAGAAAAATATGTCGGAATGGTTATTTTTCCAAATGTATGGTATACAACGTAATATAAAGGAAAACGTGTATCTTTATATGAAATGTTATTTTTGGTGAATTTTTAACGGTATATAATTGTGGCGAAAGGAAACGATGAAAAGAAACGACATTGCAGTCGGCTGGACATAAACAAATAGATTAAATCGTGCGTTGTGCGATAACTTACAATCTTGCGTTAAACACGAGCCATTTTCAAGACGATCGGGCACGAGGCCTCGATTCTCAAAATTAGGGTAAAAGTCTCCTGATTCTGTCATCATAATTCACTCTACAGTGAACAGACAAACACAAGCAAAAACGCATAACGTGCTTTACCTTTGGGAAAGGTCTTGATTTTCATGTAAAACCACAACTGATGATTAAGCCTCCCAGTTGACTATGGAACATGTGCCATTTAAAAATTAAGAGAAGCCAAGTCCATTTTTAGAATAGCGTGAATGAATCGTGAACGTAAGCTCTATCGATTCAAGTATATCCTCCCCAAAAACTACTAATTATTGTTTGAAGTACCACTGTATTGTGTTCAACCTGTGTTCGATTTTAATCAGCATGACAGTCAAATTAAAACTGTGAGGCACCAAAGGTAAATAGTGTCAAATTTGGTAATATTCTTTTGCAAAAAGATCAATACAATATGTCTTACAAAGCAAACACAGATGGCTATTTAAGCTGTTTAAATGAATAATAAATAATTTCTGTTAAACTTTTCTAATTAGTGTGTGAATGCGTTCTTATAAAAACCACTGTTAGACGCAATTTCTCCGACCACGCCCTTTAGAATTTAGCCAATTAAAATTTAAGTGAACGAAAAAATTTGAAGAGTACCTCTGCGATAGGAAGTCGACTCAACCAAAAATCTCCTAGCGTTACGTTAGGTAAATTATCGTAATTCATACGATCTTCAAACAATGTTATCAGAATAAAATCTGGTTGCAAACCTAGTGATGTTTATTGGAAGAGTGACCCAGAATTGTTCTCTCGTCGTGTAACGGAAATATATATGACTGGAGTATCATATGACATTCTATTTGCTTTTGAATGAAAGACAAGGTCATAAATAGTGAAAAATTAAATATCCAATCTGGAAAGACGATAAGGAGTACTTACGAAGATTTCTTCATATCTAAATGCAAATTAGCACCTCGCACTGAACAACTGAGAAAAGAAGAAATTTCGAAGTTCTCGATCAAACTACTCGGAGTTCCAGTGCCACCTAAGCCCCGATTGTCGATTATTTGGTAAAAAAAAGATTTGTCCCCGGAGTAAAATTTGAAATAAGAGAAACTGCCCATTACAGTGCTAACACTCAATATAAAGTTTTTATTAGTACATATTACAGAAAAATGATTGAGTTGGTTATTTTGTCCTTCGAATGCCAACTGTGCTTTTAACCAAGAGAACCAAAATCACACAACCAAACCTTTACGCAGATTCCTTTTTTTTTACTCATTCATTAATGTATTTGTTTATTTATCGATGACTGTTAGTTTCTTTGTCTATCCATTTATCCATCTATCCATCTATCCATTCATTTATTTCATTTTAATTTGTTAATTTGATTTCTTCTCCCGGAGAGATTAAGAAAAAATTGAAAACTTAAATTCGTCCCTGTAACGACGTCAACTTCGGTAATTATCATCTTCCTTCACAATTAGATTGAATATCCTGACAAACAAAAGAAAGTAGACTAATCCACCGATAAGAGTTCAGGAGCCAACACAAATCAAAGCGATGACATGTGGAGGTCTTTAAAGAAGAAATTATCCATTTAGACTAATACAACTGTACACTGTACAGCTTGCTTATTGCATTAATGTTTCACTCTTATTGTTTGTACCAGTTGATTTGTTCCATTAATGTGAGTAGCTACCGTTGTGTGCGTAATTATCGCATAAGTACAAGTGTTCCTTCATCCGCAGGAAAGTATAAGGCCTTAAGCGACGCGAGCCTGCGAGATGCCTGCCAGGGGTCTATCCCTCATCATTGGTGCCAGACCCCTGGAAAACCTCTCCGCGACTCGTCTTGAAGCAACACGTGTCCTGCAGCAATAATAAGGAGGTCCTTCTCGCGAGGTTTATACTGAGCTATATCACGCCCTCTAGCTTTAGAAACTTTAGAGGCATCCTAAATTACGCATTCATTTTTTTCCTGTCTGACCGCTAATTACGGAATCTTACTACAATTCCACGCTGCCCCCTGTTCATAGACAAGTGTGTTTTTTAAAAAAAGCTGGATCAAAGGTAATATATGATAACTTTTTTCTTCTCTGACTTCTCCACGGTTTCTAATGTGGGCTGGTACCGAGTCTCGTCCAGGAATATGCTGAATAACCCGGCCACTAAAGCGTTCAATCCCATGATTCCGTAAGGTAAGATTGGGTGAAAACGTTCCTAAAAAAGACAAGAAACTTGATCTTTTCATCCAGATTCATTTGTGTCGAGATTAATATATAAAGCCCAAGCCTATCCTACACACTAACATATAAAGGTCGATCGTGAATAAGAAATCATTTTTGCAAGTGCAACGTGCAGTTGCGCTCCGTGAACGTATAAATCTTCTCTTTCTCAGGCCCTTCTCTTTGTTCGTCAGCCATGTAAGAAAATGTTGCTTATTACAATATATATTTTTCAAGAGAATTAGTGCTGCGATCTAAATGGCACAGTGTCGGATCTTATTCCGCTGTTACTTCTCTCGTAGTTAATGTCAGTATTTTAGTTTTCGATAGGTTAATACGCTTTGCTTCGACGAAGGGCTCATGATCAAACAGTCAGCTTTTCAAATCTCATTACCACGACTCATCCGTGGCACTGCTGATTCTGTAATCGTCGGATTATTTTTTTTATAGGTTCGTTTGGTACGGAAAGAAAAGCCTTTACCACTCACGTATCAATACAACGGCTTACCGAGTATACGATGTACGGAGTACAGAATGATCCAATCCCAGCTGCACCTTCAAACACTCCCATGGCGATGTTTCTGAAGTGAAGAATCAATAATGATAGTGTCGATATAACACAGAGCAAGCATTCCGAACTTATTTCACAGCACCCTATGATTGTTCCAGAAAACTCGAACCACCCGCTTAACTAATCCGATGTAAAACTGAAATCAATAGTGACTTAGCAGTTCACGCTTTTCCGCACTTCGGATAGTCTGCTCGTTTATCTCAAGCATTGATTGGTTAATAGTGCTTTTTTCTGATAGGCTGCTGTGATCATCTTGGTTTTGGCTCTCTGACACTCTATCACCGTGACTCCCGCGTTCGAAAAGATTAAGCGCTAAAACTTCGATAAACTAGTAAGGTAAAACTCTTTAGCTCTCACCCTGAGAAGCTTTGCTTCGCTTAACCTGGATGGTGACAAAATTCAAGTGTAAAGAGGCTCGAAATTTTAACTGTGACTCGTAAAATAGGTTAACCGTAAAAATGTTTCTGGTAACCGAAACGAAAAGAAATTAAACGTTAGCCTCACAATGGCCATAATTTTAACCTTAAGCCATAAATGTTGCATTGAGACCCTCATCGAGTAATTGAAGACAAATTTTCTGTTCAAGTAGCTTCTCGCATTGATTCTATCAAAACCTTTAGCTGAATATGATAAAAAAAATGTATGGCGTTGGCAATTAGACCTAAAAACTCTTACCTGACAGTTGTAGGAAAGAGTTCTCCTGAATACACGTACAGACCATCATAAGATATCATTATCCAAAATTTCGACCAGATCAGCGACATAATGATTTTACCGGCAAAATATCCTTCAAAAATGATAAAAGCAAAGATTGTAAATATCATGCATTAATAATATTAAGTAAATTGCCCTTGTCAAAGCGATTCTAAGAGAGGTTAAATAATGAAATCCCACGGTGATTTTCCACACAACAAGTAAGGAGTACGTTTTCGCTCCTGTATAAAAAAAATCTTGACATTTTTGTATATCAGTGGTAGTCTGAACAGCTAACTATTTTCTCCAATGGCGCAATATTTTCCTTTATTAACTATTGATTACTAACCCTTATTGGACTCGTCGTCTGTTGTCAAGAGAAGAGAGCCCGCAGCACCGGCAGCAGTGAGGAGCATTGGAACAATGACGCCCTTTTTACGACCAAACCTAGTAGAAGAGGTTCTCTGTCTTACTTTAAGTAAAGTATCTTCGTTCATTACAAGCTGCCTCCTAACTGTTTCATGATCTGAAAAATTTGTCCTCATCTATTCTTTTAGATCAAAATAAGAGTACGATGCATCACCACACACACACACACACACAGTAACAGCAATAATGTATAATAAGGGAGGTTGTTATTATTATCATTATTATTATCAATACTACTATTATTATTAAAACAGTGATCTTTTCTTGAACACAAGAAATTCCACGATTGATTTCCTGAAAAGATTTTGTCGATATTGAGGATTTGTGAAAGGTGATAAATTTATCAATTCGATTGCACGGTGACTGATAAGATGAAAGAGTAAATATAGCACAATACTATCAATTGGAAAATTTATAGAAACTAAACGAATTTTTTTTTGTTTATGTTTCGTAAATGGCAAATCACGAGATTTTATGCAATTTGTTACTGACTTGTTATAAATCCAAATGCCTGCCGGGATTGCTGGAAGCTCGATAACACTGGTCAAGAAGAAGTTCAAGTGCGTGCTGCCACCAATGATGGGTGTGCTCAGGTATACGCCATAGTACACCATGGCATTGACAAACCTAGCAACACAAAATGAAACAGAGGAAGGTCACCTAAATGGCCACTGTTTTGTACCCAGAAGGCAAGAAACTTCACCCTTGCAATGCCGTTTCTCCCTTGGCAGTTTCAATAGGTAGCGCAAACTCCGAAGAAAACGGATAAGTTCGAGGGATGGAATATTGTCTAGTTCAGGAGGAACAGATCTCCTTTCCGCCGCGGAATTTATGGCTGTCATAGGCCACTTTGGTTCGCTTAACACTTGAATTACGGAAACCTACATTTCACTGAGAAGTAGTTGTGCCCTTCTTACTAGCAGTTTCTTGTATAAAATGAGACGAATGTCGTTCTCTATAGACATTAGCAGCAGGATAGTTATGATTGAAGGAATCGTTGACTCCTGACTTCGGCAGTCAGAGAGACTTTGCCAGAAGACAAGACATCGCTTCTTATACTATCCCATATAGGAACCACTTCAACTAAAATAAGGCAAGTCTGAAATTGATACATTCATCTACAGGCGGCCCAAGCTCCAGCTGTGAGATGATCATCTTGCGAAATAGGAGTCATAGCGAAATCATAAGAGTTTGTATGGGAATATTTACGACGGCTCTTAGGAATATAAATACAATCAAACTCTCAATAAATATACCTCACCACCGTCATTTGACATGAACAAATTGTTTTAGAACCACGGATGCCAAGTTACGGTGTTGTCCCCGGCGAGGTCGTGTGTCAAGGTGATTGTGTACGCGGGCCGTTAGCAACGTCTAAACTGGAAATTTTTGAAGCAAACTGCGGCGTAGCGTCGGTTTCACAGGGAAGATTGAGTTTGTAGTGAATTGAAATGAAACTGAAGTACACGTGCTTGTATACTGCGTTGGATTTGTGGCCGCCCGGTCATTTTGAGCTTGGATTTCTCGCTTCTCGGATCGGGCTTTCGGAAATGAAGTGCGCAGCCTTGGGCTATTCTTATGTACGTATAGTAAACCTAGAAATAGATAACTAGCTAAAATGGGCTCTTATCAACAAAGTAAGCGGTCAGATAGCAAGCGATGCACCGTAGAAGTAAGGTGAGGTATTTTTATTGAGAATTTGATTGTATATTTTATTCCTAGGAGCGGTCGTAAATATTCTTATACAAAACTTTCATAATTTCGCCATGACTCTTATTTCGCAAGATGATCATCTCACAGCTGGAGCTTGGGCCGCCTTTGATTCATCATCAACCAAGACAGCTGATTTGTGTCTTGGAAAGATTTCGTCAAATTTATTTTCTTGAGAGGCTACATGATTTTCCTACACTGTGGTGAAAAAAAAAGTTGTTGATATTGAAAATTATTTAAGATTACATATTTCTTCTTCCTACCAACAATAACCCGTTATCAGTGTCTTCATAGCCATGTCGTGTGAACCGAACAAATCCCGAATGTCTCCCATTCTTTCTTCGTGCTTTACTTCAAACTTGATTTCCTCTCTCGAAATCTGTTTGCCATTCACGTGGGCAATGCTTTTGCAGAGATCCACAGCCTTTTCAGTCTTTCCTTTCACAATCAGCCACCGAAGAGATTCCGGAGAAATCCTGACAAAAAGACATGAAGCTATAAGTACGATTCTCAGAGGAAGCATCGTTTCAAGGCAACTAAATAGATAATTACTCAGCCATATCTAAGCATATATCACATAACGATTTTCAGCTGGAAATATTAAGTTAACGTTGACTGAATATTAATTGGATGGTTTGTCGTTGTCTAGTCGGTTAGTTTACAAGTCTTTAGGAGGGACATCTATGGTAAGCTTCTAAAGAACCCTGAAAAGTCGGCACTTACAAGAAGCCCAAGGCAAGAGGGATTGCTGGTGCCCCTGTGACAATACACAGTAATCTCCAATCTGTTATGAGATACGCAATTCCTGCCAGGCCCATCAACGAAAGGGTCCAAGAATACCAAAGAGACGTCCCCATTATGGCCCTGTGTCGAGCACCCACAAATTCGGAGATAAAGATGAAGATACTGACTCCACCACCTGATAAAGAGAAAAGCACAGATAATAATAATTAACTATGATTATAATGATTAGAGGGTACTAGTACCCTGGAATAAATACGTAGCTAAAAATATAACATAGGGCTGGATTAAATTAAGTAAAAAATATTTATAGCGGAGATATAGTATTGCCCGAACATACATTCGATCTACACAGACATCAAACACACAAAAACAAAGAATTATAACAAGATTTAACAATTTTCGAAGATCAAACTCTAGCTACGGTTACATACATGGACAATAGTACGTTAAGATAAAGCCAGTTGCCGAGAGTGTCATCAGTACAATGAAAGATAGTGCTCCCTAAGAACCGAGTGAGAATTCACTTTCAAATAAATGTGTATCGCATAAGCAGCTCTGTGAAATCCCTACGTATTTTTTCATAGCACACACTTACCTAAACTAAAACCAACAACGAAACGAAAAAGAGTGAATAGCCAATAGGAGTTGGGGAAAGCTGACAGCAAGCTGAATAGTGCAACAACAAATCCAGATGTGAATATGATGATTCTCCTGCCGAATTTGTCCGATAAAGTACTTATTATGGCGTTACCCATCAAAGAGCCAAGGAAGAGCAAAGAGGAAGACACAGTTCCATAGATCGCTTTGTCACACACCAGGTCAAACTGTGAAGGAAAAAGGAGACTAAATAGATTTAAGTAATTTTCTAATTCTAGTCGGATTAAGGTTGCAAAGTGCATTTAAACTGAATGTCGTAATACCAAACCTAAAATCAAACGAATAGTATGAATTCCAATCAGAGCCTATTCACTCACTAATGTCTGTACCTGTGTGACAACTGAAGTATATTCGCCAACAAATTCCCAGGCTCCTCTTGACATGTTACACCTCAGATCGTAGTTGTTGTCCCCTGGGTACACAATTGCACCTATCTGACACTCAGTGCTGTTTGCAACGCAACGCCACCCGGGCTCAGCGGCAATGAACGTTGACAGAAGCAGCGGCCATGCGAACCAGAACCACCCGAGGATGCTGGCGAAGATTAGCAGACGCAATTGATAACGGCCGAAGCTACCGATTTTTGTTAGCACCTGGTCAGCGGTTAATGCCATTGCTTGAACAGACAAGAAAGAGAGGGGGTAGTGTATATTTTCTGATTGTTTTTGTTTTGTTTTATTCTTATTTAGTGTAATTGCTCAGGCTATTATTGAGATACATATGCTCTGATTGGTCGAGTATTGTGTCATATCTTGCAATAATCACTTTGCACGAGGTGATTCTAGCAAGGGCGCCAAATTTCAAATGACTGCCCTGCGTTTGGAAAAAGTTTCCGAGGAAGTAATAGACACGATAGAAGAAAATTCAATTGCAAAAAACACAGAAGATGCTAATGAGTTTGGCGTAACATTCCTCAGAAGTGAACTGTGAAGTTTTTGCTGATTTATTAAATAGACCTGTTAAATTATCTTGAAATGAGTAATCAACACAATAGTAACAAAACGCGCGTAATGCTTTCTTTACTTACAGAATTTACAATGGAATTCAAAAGCGTCTAAGCAATTATATTAAAACAATTATTCGCCTCAGGCTTTGTGGCGATTGTCCCATGATCCCCTTGAATTTCTAGCCTTTTGATTGGCTGAACGGAGTCAGGTTATGAACTTGTTACTTAGCGTTAAGCTCAAAACCTAGTTCCGACAAATATGGTCGGTGAATTTTTGCGAAGTCAAAGAAAAATTTTCACTGAGCGAGCCGTAAAGCAACGGCGGAAAAAATCGTTTTGATCGAGAGCTTACAAGTAAAAAAAGTAACAGAACTAATATAGAAAATGCGACGGGCCTACCACCGAAAAAGACAATAAATTCGGTTCAAACATATTTCACCGTATGTAACTAGTATTTCTTGACGTCCACTGAGACCTGAGCTTAAGCAACACAAAGTCGCCTTGCATACTTTAAATTTGCTTTAACTTAAACAATTATTTTTCTCAGGCTTGCCGAATATGTCATTATTATAATCAAGTCGACGCCACTCGCCTCGTTGGTTATTTATCATCTCATATTCGTAGAATAATTGTTGGATATTCACCTTGCTTTTAACGAGTAATTTTTGTGTGGGATTTCCCTACACTTTGTCAGGGCTTGCAGTATTTATTTATCTATTTGTGTACGAAAGCAAAGTTTCGGTCACGTGGTCTCTGATTTACACTTGAATGATTTCATTACTTTCAACTCCCGTTTATTTCTACCAACAACCGAAGTTTTACGGAAAGATGCATCATAATGACAAAGTCCAGTACTATCCTGTGGATTTACGATTAGCAATTTGAGGTTCCCTCTTTCAACTATGATTTGTTGGTACGTTGCGTGACGGCACCAGGTTCTGTAGATTCGCAAGTTAAAAAACTAATGCCTTCAAACTTCCTGCCAAAATTTTTCACATTAACTGTTCATGTTTAAACAGAAAAGCTAATTTGCAAAAGTATAGTTTCCGTAAAGTGTTCTAAGCTGGAAGCACGAATACTATTAATTAACATTTGCAGTTGCTTACTGGTTTATCCAGGTTTATCGTAAACAAATTCTACTCTGCTACGAGCGACTGATTCCAATATTTCCGCTGAGGAATAAAAGTAGACGCTGACTTTGGAATAACTCTTACCACCATTGACCAGTCATCCCAACAGGTTTATTTTGACAAATGGTAAGCACACCTAATTTCCTCGAAACTAGAAGTCCAAACATGTTTCTCCCGTAACCGTTTTCTCGTCTGTAGCTTGGGATTCTACGGAATCTTTACTCGACATTTATCACTATAACATGACAAAATGTATTACATTTATTGTGAAGGTAATCTCACTGCATCAACGTTTACTTGACTGAAGTCCCGCACAAGTACGCATTGCGAACCCTTTTTTAAATTTGTATCTATCAAAGAATTTATTTTTATCTGTAGCCGGTATGAATATCGAAAGTAAGTGCTAGCGCGACACGAAAAGCAATCAGGAGGCATGTTGCCCCTTATTGATAGATACCAACGGCGGAGGGTAATTAGCAACCGGCTATCTGTCGTTTGTTTAACCCTAAAGATGTTTACAAGGTCACTCTTCTGATCCTCATTTCAGATAAGATAAGGTCAGTGATTTGGGTTACACGAATGTTTCTCTTGGTTTTTATTTCAGCAAGTTAGAGCTTGCTCTTTCAATACTGTACAACTCCTTCACAGCGACCAAGAGATTAAAACACTAAAGAATTGCCGCCTACATTTCTAAAGAATACGGATCTTCTGAGCTTTTTCATCGCACTTGTTGTCACAACTTTAATTCATAATACTCCTAAGATTGTGTTCCATAGTAAAACATAAAACATTTGATGAACTTTAATCACGAACAAGCGTATTACCAACTTTATCAATAGTTGCTAAGGAGTTTCGTTTTTTACACTTCAGAGGAAAAGCTTCAAATCAAGGATGAAAAACGAACAAACTTGCTAGACGAAAAACTTCGCCTAGTAGCCCTCTTGAGTTGTCTGATGTCGCTTGGTAATTCGAAGATCGCTAGTTTTTCCTTGAGTGGCATTCTCGTTCTGATTTAAAATTCTTTACCCCTAGCCATGCACTTATGGACATTTTTTGGTTCACCTTGATTTGGAATTGGAGCTCTTGAATTGGAATTTTCCGGTCAAATTATACGTGCGGTAACGAACCTAAGTAAATCTGATCGAATCATGCTCGACAAAGTTAAACGCCCTGAGGGAATCAGATATCCATCAACTCTGCCAAGTCAGACGTCTGCGGAACTGAAAGCTATTTTGATTTCGTTGGAGCTATTCGAGGTATGTAATTAATCCTCGAGTTTGTTCTGTAAGCTGTTACGAGTATAATATCTGAAGGTATTTGCCGCAGCTTTTAATTATGAACCATTTCTCCAAATTACGCTCATCCCATCGAAAGAGAAAGTGATTTCATTTCCTCAAGGTAATGATTCATTTTCTTTTGCCCTTCAGCTGGATAACATTTTAACAGACTTGAAACGGGCATTTCGTCCAGTTTGATAAGTACTTCTTGATACAAAACAGATTGTTGACTTCAGCTAGACCTGGTATTGGTTCCACTAGGTCTCTAGTACAGTGATAAGAAACGGCCCGTTTCTTGTATCAATAAACAAACTGAACTCACCTCTTCTACAGAAAAGAAGTGAATCACCTCTCTTGTTCCTTTGGGCAACACATAAAACAACTGTATTCTGAGGCTTAAGGTTATAGTCGTGTTGATTGCTCAAAGTGAGTATCTGTTACGAGTTGGGTGTCATGTGAACTAGATGATATTTCACCATCCCGGGAATGTCTTAGAAGGGTGTCACTTTCTTCTTATATCGTTTTAAGCTCCAAACACATTTTTTAAGGATCAGTTTTGGTCTTAAGTAACAAAGATTAAAAAGTTTTCGCCTGCACCAGCATTTTCGTTCATCAGTTTAACTGATCCACGCTAGTCCGTTGACCATAGACGTGACTGCCTACCGTCATAACCAAAGCGCCAAGGATTGAAATACTGGTCGGGCTGATAATATGTAACGCTTTTTCAAAACTTCCGTTTTTAACCTGACCACACAAGAAACATAAGATTCTCAAAACGATCTTTACAATAAAATCTCCACTTTTGAAATAATTTTCCAACTTTCAAACGAAGATAAGATAGTGCAGATTGCGGGTGAATAGTGTCACGCAAATTCGTCAAAATGTGATGTTTGCTTTGAAATACAACTGTTTGCCTTACGATTTAATTATTTCTGATGTCAATCGCTACCTTTCGACAAGCCTGCGGGCGTTTGAAGCGTTGTGGCGTTTTCCGACCCAGGAAGATTTGAGACGAGTCGGGGAGAGGTTTGCTGGGGGTCTGGCACTAATATTGAGTGTTAAAGCCTTGCAGACCTCTCGCCAGCTCATGTTGCTTAAGCTTGGCCTCTTACTTTCCAGTAGACGAAGAAACGCTTGTGCTAATGATGAAGCCTACCCTCAAACTATCTTTCGACAGCATAATACTAATCTTCTTCAACGTAAAACCATTGTTCTCAGCTGTGATAGGATGGTTTTTAACTTCTAGCCCATTCATTGAGCTCCCTCAGTGGTCCGTTACCAGACATAAGTTCTTGCGGGCCGGCTGCAGTGTCAATTGAAACCTCGAGGTTTGGTCAAGATCCTTGCCTATACTTTCATTCGAGCAAACAAATTTCAAAACAAAATTACCCAGAGAAGCTGTGACGGAACAGTTAGCACATTAGCCTGCGTTGAGAGGTCCGGATTGACCTTGCCGGGTCACCGCGTTGTCTTCTTATGTTAGTACTGTACAATTATATTTCCTTCTTCCACCTAGGGGTGTAAATGAGCAGGTTAACTTGTGATGCACGGGCATCCCATCCAAGAGGAGTTTCAGTACTTCCTAGGGACATCATGCGAGTCGGGGATAAGCTTTTCCACCCCCTCCACCCACAATAAAATTTCTGCTTATGACAATATTCCTCTAGATTTACCTCTCTCCCCTTCTCCTAGCCATTCATCGTGGTTCCCAGGCCGTTTACCTGTGAATATACATCAGTTTTTGCAACATTTGCTCATCCAAACTAATGCTTCAAAGCAACAGAGCCATGTTCCTTTCGTTTTTAAAAAAATGTGAAACAGTCTTAATGTTTCACCAGATTAGGCTACCATGATGAACTCAGTCTGCATGCAAGTATCTGATTTATTGGGGAATATACCATAAACTACTTTAGGAAGGAATTATATGAAACACGTTCCACCAAATTCACTTTTAATTATGAATTAATAATTTCACCAAATGATTATTCAAAACCTTTTGCACGCTACACGCTGTAAACATAAAAATCAGAAAGATCTCCATTTTCCAAGTTCATTTTTCAAGTTCAAAAGTATTCACCATGTTCATGTTGTTTGAACATCTGGGTTGGAGTTGGGTTTAATGTTAAAAGAAAAACAGTGACTGAGTGTCCATGCAAGGTCAATGCATAACATTACTGAAATTTCTGGGTAACCTGTCGTTTCATACCCAGCTTGGTTGATTTGTACCCACTCAGTTCAGTTGTTTGCACTCATGCTAATGAAGTGTTTCCATGTTTGGTATTCTTAACCTTTTCCACCCTAACATCAGTATGCATATTCTCCATACTGTTTCCTGTATATATCTATACATTCCCTTGGGTGCTGATGAGGAGAATTTGTTTCATAATTCAGAGCTTCTCTAGTTGGTGACCATTTCTTTTATTCTCATTACCTGCATGTTTGGTTTGTGGGTGATATTGTAGGGAGAAATTAGATGCTGGTCACTCTTAAGGGTTGAAGTGTTAAAGTAAAGTCAGTTTAATATTTTAAATAGCAACATCAACTGTGTTGAATAACTTTTGAAATTTTTCTATTTTTAATATACAACCAGTGAAATTAAGGCCTAGGGCTGAAAAAGCAGGGTCCATGAGTCATAAGAAAGACACAAACAGTATTTCCACCAGATGCATACAGGCTGTATATATTTACTTTCCATCCTAAATGAACTTACATTACAAACTAATGTTCATAATATCAAAACCTCAATTTTTAAAAATTGTATTTAGACAGTATTGTGAATGAATGTATATGTATATTGGGACAAGTTGACAAGCAGTTCAAGTACAAACCCTCTCAAACTTGATACAATTTGACTACTTTGGATATGAGACAACTGAGTATGAAACCACTGAATACCGATTTCTTTAGAACTGTAGCTAATGCCAAGACTGCAGAGAGATACAGTTGAAATCAGTATACACAAATAAGAACTTAAATGAAGGAAAACCTAACTGAAAGTAAAACCTTTACCAAAAGTTTGACTTTGTTCTTGCCTACCTACATGTAACTATTTTTATGAAACACAATGCCTATATGTGCGTGATAAAAAACCACTATGTCACTGTTCCATGAGGAAACAAACTTAAGTTTTCCCTGCCAGTGCCTTCTTTAGTTCAGATGGTTTAAACACACCATGCTCAGTGACAATGCCCCCTGTTATCAATTCTGCTGGAGTCACATCAAAAGCTGGATTCCAGCAAGCAATGCCAGGAGCAGCAATGCGAACACCTGCTACAGTAGTAAGTTCTTCTGCAGGTCTCTCCTCAATCACAATGTCACTGCCATGTTCTAAGGACATGTCTATGCTAGTGGAGGGCACAGCAACATAGAATGGGATTCCATGATGTTTAGCTGAAAAAGAAAAGAAAGTTTATTGTTAACATTGACTGGCAGTATTTTATATAAAAACTTTAATATCTGTGAGACAATGACACTGCCTATTTGTACACAACACTACAGAGATATCAGTCCAGGTGCAAGCTTCTCAATGGGTCATTGAACAATGGGTTTTTTAGGTTAGACAGTTTACCCTCAAAAATTCCCTCTCCAAAAAACTGTTTGGGAAAGGTAATGAATTGCTTTCTTTGTTTAAATAGAAATCAAAACTCTGTCCTTATAAACCATGCAGTGGAAATAACAAATTCAGCAGCACACAGAATTAAGTGCAATTTGGTGTTAATAAGTACAAGTAAATTTTTGAAAGATTTACGAGTGTTTATTTAACCAAATTGCTTGAGAAATCATGTTGTTACTTGTTAATAATTTACATGGAAAAAGCATTGCAGAAAGTCAAGACAGATGAAATTTTGAAAGTGCTTGCATTTGTAATTTGCACTTGTGTTATAACTTTGCACTTGTTTTCAGCCAATCAGAAGCACATAATTTTTTTCATGTATACTATTAATCAGTATGGGCCTAATGAGCTTATGAGTCTGAATATCGAAAAAAAAAAAGTGAAAGAGACAATGCCTGGCATATCACTTCTTTACCAGCTATAGCAATCTGATATGTCCCTATCTTATTGGCTGTATCTCCATTGGAAACCACTCTGTCAGCACCAACAACAACTGCATGTACTCCTTTTGTCTTCATGAGTAGTGACACCATTGAATCTGCAACTAAAGTTGAAGGAATATTCTCATAGACCAACTCATATGCTGTAAGCCTTGATCCTTGGTTATAAGGTCTGGTCTCAGTGCAGAACACATGGTCAATATGGTCTTGTTCAGACAAATGTCTTATCACTCCTAATGCTGTCCCAAATCCTGACGTTGCTAAGGAACCAGTGTTGCAGTGTGTGAGCACCTTTAACTTGTCAGCCCCCACCAGTTGTAACATATGCTCTGCACCAAGCCTTCCAAGAGCCTTGTTATCACTTAAATCTTTGTCTAGCATTCCTTCCATTTCTTTGATAAGTTCTATCTTGATACTTTCAGTATCGCTGACTTTTGATGACAAGCCTTTGACTAATAATGTCAAATGCTTTGCAGCTTCCATAATATTTACAGCTGTTGGTCGAGCTGTGGTAAGATACTGAAGCTTCTCTGCAACAAAGTTTTCCACTTCTTCTTTGGAACTAAATGACATTGGTAAAATCTCTACTGCAAGACTCAAGGCACCAACCAAAGCAATTGCGGGAGCTCCACGAACCTGGAACAATAAAATATACATGTATCTCCGAAAAGTTTTGATTATTTACTAAATCAAATGCTCATTTACTGAATGTATAGTTTGAAATGAACAACTCTATAACATACATCACATACACTAGAAAAATTAGCCACAGCACATTTCAACTTGTTCATAAATATGACTATTAGTAATATTACAATATCAGTGCTCTGATGCAGGATCATTTTTCAACAACAAAAATAACCAACTAAATTTCATCAGGATTTAGAGTTTTACTAACTACAAAAAAATTGACTGCCACCAACCATGTAACAGTTGCAAATCTACCTGTAAGCAAACCAAATTTGAGCCAACCAAATGCCAAAATTATTTCCATGTACTGTTTCGTGACTTTTGCAGTGTAGGCTACACTGCAAGTTAACCTACAACTTAAGTGAGTACATAGTATTGCTGAATATTCTCCAATTCCTTTCTAAGATCTAGTTTTCGCAGGGAGTTCTTATGAACATCAATCACATCATCTATCACAGTAGGAACCAAAACATTAAAAACTGCACAAGTTTGGTTTCATTATGCAATGTTTCAAGAAAATTAACCAGAAATGGTTGCATGTGTTTCACCATCTTAAATATTTGTACTTCTTCCAAGTAACTAGTGTACCATTTTTTTAAAATTCTTCTTCCTGAAAATTGGCACAACACATGTCTATACAACAGTTATTACAAGTTCTCTGTTGTTTCTTTCTGGTATTGTAGTGCAGGCACAACAATGCAAAGAGAAAGAGAAAGGGAAAAGTGGAGTCAAAGACACTTATGAGTCCACTGCATAAGTTTCAATCCAAATCACTAGAGCTTTGTGTTCAACATAATTCTGTTTAACACAATAAATCTGTAATAAACTGTTCTTCATCTGTGCTTAGTTTCCTGTAGTCTTGATCCAAACCTACTTGTAAGCAAATGTGTACCGACTCTCAGTAACATAGAATTTGATTTTCTCCTTGGAATGTATGGTTCACAAAGAGTTTTACTTCATCTCACTTCACCCCGTAATCCTTTCCCCTGAACTGAATGAACAAGTATACCCAATTTATTTACAGTATATATTTCTCGAAATGATCCATTGGAGTTTGTCTTCTTTTTATCTTTATCAGCCAGACCTGTCTTGAATTTTTGTTGCTCTTCAGTATGAAGTTGAATTCCTAAAAATATTTTTTCCTTTTTCTTTCCCTCATCGTTTCCTAAACATCCACCTCTCTTGATTAGGAAGGAAGCTGATTCAGCAATTTCTTTAATAGAAGAAGTTTGTTTTGATCCACTGTTTACAAGAAAGTGGCAAATATTCCCATAAATAAAAGGATGCAAACTATCTTGATTCGTGCAGGGTGAAATTGTCTCCTCAAGATTAACATGGAACAAGGCAAGTTTGCTTGTTTTCCTACTCTTTGCACATAAATCACAAACTATTTGAGCACTTTCGGCACAATTTTTCCAAGAAGCCATGATTAAATTCTATGGTAACTTTCTTTTTCGAATTGAATTAACATTAAAATAAATAAGAAGTATTCCACCTTCACTCTTCGTAAAACCTTTCGAGCCGCCGAAGTGAAAACGTACTTGTATCAACGTTCCAAAACGTTCCCTGAGTCAGCAACCCTGGATGTCCACGTGGACAATTGAGGTCCTTATTACGATTTCACAAAATAGCGCTAGCTTCTAAACGACATCAGTTCATAAAAAAGCTATCCTTGTCTATATCACGGCCTTTGAAAAACATTCGCATGATTTTGCTCCAAAAAAGCCACCTATCCCAACATAAAGGTTTTAAATTAAAGAAAATTGAATAGGTTCTCATTATTTAAAAATTAGCTCACTTCGCTAACATTATTTGTGAGCTGGTTTGCCTAACTAACCTTCATTGCTTTTATCGCTTGCCAGCCATCTTCTACGCCTCTAATCTCCTCATATACTGACTTGTGAGGAAGGAGAAGTTGGTTTAGAATCTCAAGATGTCCACGTTTGTATTTTATCGCTAATAGAGACATTTTTGCTTCCGATGCAAAGCTTTAAACTATAAACCTCGTTTTGACAACCATAATATTTAACTTCCCCCTCCCCAGAGTAGAAAATGAGCTCTCCCGAGTCCTTCCGCCGAGTAAGTTTCACTGGAATTCTTTCGATTTCATATTAAATGGATCCTAAAACGGGTAGTCTAACCTGGGTAAATACGTTACGCTTAACTTCGAATTGGAAAATACTTTCTTAAAAATAAAATTCACTGAGATAGCCTTCTATTTTCCACATTACAGTGTAAATGCTTAACCAAGAGAATAAACAATACATAATCACTTTGCCTTACTCAAGTATATCATATTTGCATCTATGAAGGTTTATTGCTATTGAAGGGATATAGGCCCAACGTAACGCAAGGGACAAAAAAGAACCAAATCACGTATGATAGAAAAAATTAATAAGTGGCATAATTACGAAGGTAGCTGCAAATTAATGTTAACACTGAGTGCCAACATCCTCGCTGGCTGGAAGACAATACGGAAATCTTAAAGGCCGTTATGTTTATAATTGCGTTCATAATTGCGTAGAGTGACAAGCATCATGGAGACCAAAACTAATAAGAACTCGAACGTTCTCCTTTATTGCTTTTCATTCCATTTGATTCTTACCTTAAAGCTCACTCGCTTTTACTCGCTATTCGTTGCACCGGCGTCAAACAGCTGTTGAGTAAAACATCCTTCCTACAAGTCCTCGAAATCAGCTTGCTGATAACATTATTGTTGATGTCGACATCTACGGGTGCGCTTGGAAGTGGATCGAAAACTAAGGAACAAGTCGTCAAGAGAGATTTTTCTTATGTGCCAAGCGTAGAAGTGTCTGCTCCAACTCGAATGGGCAACTGCGAAATGTAAGTTGTTTTTGTAACATGTGTAGGTGTTCACATAAGGAACATGGTTCTCACACAAATACCCGGGTGTGTTCTTTATTCCTTTTTTTTTTTAACCATCATAGGTGTTTGCTTCAAATGAATTATCCTTAGTCGGTTTTACATCTTCCATTTGCGTGTACATAACAATACAGTGGACGTCTTCACAAGTAAAAGTCAAATACAACTGATCAGTTCAGTTTGAACTTGCCTGATTAAATAAATATATAACATCTGGTGCACAATTTATTGCGACATAAAGGATAACTGTTTTTCTGCTTGAGGCATGCAGTGACTTGAACACTTCTTGGAACAAAAACGAAAAGCAATAAATAAAACTCGAGTCTTAAGTGAATTTTTTTTCTTCAGGGTTAATTAATTAAGAGAAGGTTTTTGGTTTTCATCTCGTTTTGTCAGAGTGCATTTAGAAACTATAACAGTAGACTATTATATATATATATATGAAGGTTTATTAAAAAGTATTCAAAAATAGCACCCAAGTGGTGAAATACATGTGAATTTACAAGTATACTTTAAATATTTAAAAAATACGAAAATCTTACATTTGACTTTAAAATTAAGAGTCTAAAGGGGACTGGGAATTACAAGAGTCAGTAGTTATATACCAATGAAAAACGCTTAGGTTTGCTTGACTACAAGGACTGGGCGTTAGACGCCATTGTTGGAAAGAAAGATTTTTTAAATCTTTCGGTCCGGCATTTATTGCAGTGAGTGCATCGTGAGTTTATATTATCTTTGAAATATATGTTCCTTTTTGTTGCCGGCTGTTTGTAATTTCTTGCTCTTGATCTCTCTCGCCGTAATGATCTACTCGATATAACTTTTGTTCCTTGACCAAGCTGTTCATCTTTTCACATGAAAATTTTATTTCATCGTAGCAACCTGAAAGTCTCTCTTTTATTGTCACACAAAATTGAAATTTGCTACAAGCTTTGAACATTTTTTAATGAGCTTCTTGGCTACAGCTCAAAATCAGAAATATCAAAAAGGACAACAAGAAAAAAATATCAGGTTTGAACTAAAATTGAAACATTCTTACAATAACTCCATGGTAAACTTAAAAGTAATGTCAAAGTCGTTCGTGGAAGAGCGGTAAAAACTTCTGCTATTCAAAATCTCTAAAATTTTAAGGTTAAAACATTCTATGCGATTCTCTGAAAATTAAGCGATTGAAAGTAATATTATGTCCTTCTTCCTTTTCTTATAAGCGACATCTGAAAAGCAAAATGTGGGGGTTCTATCTTGATTAATCATATTTCATTGTTACTATCGAACAGAGGGCAGAAATTTAAAGAAGGATAAAGGTGAGACAAATAAATCATAACAAATTCAATATTCTAAAAATAAGTACAAGGTAGACTTTACATTAGATTACAGTCATTTCGTGGAAGGGGGGAACATCTAGCACCCGCCTCCCAGAAAATACGTCTGATTTGCAGGCTATCACTTGTTAGTTCCATTGTTGAATAAGGTCAGAAGGCAGGAGGGAAAGATTCATTCGGAATAAAGCGACGTAAGTTATTCCATGTACTCTTAGATTGGATAGTATTCCATCACAGAGTTCCTTGATGCGTGTAGTTTACTAGCCAGCGACCCTTTAGACTCCCGGCCGGGCACAGAGAGAAAATGTAAGAGTTAATGTGGCCTCCTCGAGAACACAACATATGGAGCAAGTCACAGCTAGACCCTGGGGTTCTCAATCAGTCGTTCTGAAGTACAGTGTTCTCAGCATTGGGCCGGAATGTTTCCCAGCGTTGACGATAGTGAATTCATAATTTGAATACTTTATTTCGAAATTATTGAGCGGCTGTAAATATGTCAAACTTGCCACACGGGGACAGGAGAACGGCTTATCTACTCATGCTGACCACGGTGCTCACAGCTTCCTTGTAATAATGATAAGCGTGTGTGAGCTAATTTTAACTCTCTCCAAAAATGTGGATGAGATCGAGACAGACGGGAAAGGAACAAATAAGATTAATTTTAAGTAATTAGGCTCAGCTCATTCCCCGCCAAAATTAATTTTACGCGCCCGTTTCTTCCGCCCAGTGCTTGGTCTACTGACGTACACACACATTGATAAAAAAGTCACTGCTGTACTTTTCATCAGGGATTTCAAGGCAATATTGTTTCGCTATTTCTTTCGTAAATATGTGGTGAACAGACAAAAAGTAAAATAATATATTAATGTTTGGGTGCACGTTTTACTTTTGTTTCGCGGTTCAACTCCCAGTTGATAATTGGCATTTTGTTCACAACGCGATACTAATGACATATTTTCAGAACGTTTCTCCTGTATTTGAAATAACTCGAGCTCGGTCTTATCTTTCAGTTTCTTGGCTGACTGGCTATTTGACTGTAATCATTACTTTCAGCAAATGTTTGGTTCGCGTGATTGGTTGTTTTATGTTCTTTTCTCTCTCGACCTGTAAACAAGTCCTGAGGGAAAGATTATTGGAACACATTATTTGCATCAGCAGTTTTGCTTATAGAGGCACGCCAACACAATTTCAAGTCATTCAACTAGTTGCAAGCGGGCTGGAAACAATTTGACTGGCTGAAAGCTGCGAAATCCGGTCGTTCAGGTAAGGTAACGCTTTTTTGTCCAGATCCAATAAACGTCATTTTCAAGTCATTGCTGGAGGAAACTACCCCACAGAACCATGAAGTTGTTAGCAAACCTTTTGGCCGTAATTGCTTTTTAAAAATCCTATTAATTGAGTTTCAACTATATCATGGCTAGACGCCAAAAATTTATATTTCAATCCATCAGCAATTCTAGTCAATAGCGAAGAGAATTCTTTCAAACAGCTTTTCCTTTAGGTTTTAAGGCCTAGGAAAATAACGTTTTTTTCCTCTTGAAGAAAAAATTTTATTAAGTCGAGTAACCACCAAACGCGCTGAACTAGAAACGATACAACATACGCTTTTCATTCCTTCAGATCCCCTAGAAGAAGTAATTTCCACTCACTTCTCCTTAAGTCCACTTAAAATCAAATTGCGTTCAATTCCATGCTAACATTAAATTTATATCGATGAAATTTCTATTGCGGTTTTAATGATGTATAACTAAGAAGGTAAAGAAAGATCGCGCGCAAATTTTTACCGCAACTCAGCCGTGTAAGGTAGAATACGCCTGGGTGTCCATAAATGCTCCCAAAGCGACTGGCATTGAATCAGTTATACTAACATATTAAAAAAGTTAATGCATGAGATTTCAAAATTGAATTCGCTTACTGAACCTGGGTCACTTCAAAACACTTTCAAACATCCGAGAGCGAAAAGCACTCCAGGGAGGAGCCCAAATTTGCCGCCGTTGCAGTTCAATTATCAATTGATTGTATGATCTATAACAAGCTAAAGTTATGAAGTCCTCAAGAACTTGATTAAAGTGACAGTTAGTAATGTACTTTAAACTCCTTGCAACAGCGGAGAAACAGGTCGAAAGAATCTTCTCCGGTGATTCTTATTCACCCACGAAGAACTTGTATGTCTAACAAAAGGCATATACAGTTACAAAACTTTGTAAATTGGGCGGCTGTAATTAGACACCGACTTGACCGCGCGGTAATGACGTCACATATTCCCGCTTAAAAGACTCATCAGAATGGACAACATTTGTCAGAGATACGACTGATTTATGGTTAACATAACCATAAATCCCTAAAGTTGTTTATTCTAGAATTAAGATCCCAAGCAATACCAAATTGTAAGCTTCCCCCTCCAAAAGTTTACACCTTAAGGTCAAATAAGGGCGGTAGTGCAATTGCTGCTCTTTTCATCAGCCTTTCGTGCAACGATGAGTCATTTTATGTAGCAGACTCTTTCTAACACTAAATTATAGATATAGCGTTGAGAAATATCGTAAAACGGATATGACATTTTAAAATGGCGAGAGCCGAACACTTTGTTTTGAAGTCGAAATATCATTGTGGTTCACTTACAGCAGACACGAGAGCGCCCAGAAAAATATTCAAACAGAAAAAACAAATGCTTAATATCAAAAATGTAACATGCTTGGACACAACTTGATGCCTCTGGATCAGACACAAAGCAATACAAAACGGAAATTTCCTGCTACCCTCGACAATTTATTATAGATTGTTTACGTTTTACCCATTCTG